CGGGGGTTTCTAAACCCTAAACCCCCTAAACCCTAAATCCTCAACCCTCAACCCTCAACCCTAAATCCTCAACCCTCAACCCTAAACCCTAAACCCTAAACCCTCAACCCTTTAAACCCTAAACCCTCAACCCTAAACCCTCAACCCTAAACCCTAAAGCCCCTAAACCCTAAGCCCTCAACCCTAAACCCTAAACCCTAAACCCTAAACCCTTTTCAAGGAGCCCTTATAGTACCCTTTAAAGGAACAGGTTTTCATATCTACGAGAGGTGCTAGGCTTCGCCTTCGGTGCCAGGGCCAGGTCTGGCGGGAGCTTCGTATTACACCATATAAACTCGGAGGCCCCACAAGGTGGGCTTAGGGTTTATAGGGTTTAGGGTTTAGGGTTTAGGGTTTAGGGCATAGGGCATAGGGGTAGTTCTCGAAACTAGGGTCCCTTTTTAGGTCCCCAGTTATATAGTACGGCACCCTTATAAAAGGACCCCAAAAGAGACCCTAATTTGGAAAACTACCCATAGAACTCGGAGGCCTCACAAGGCGGGGATGAAGGTAGGTGGGATAGGCTTTAGGGTTTAGGGTTTAGGGTTTAGGGTTTAGGGTCGGAGGCTTCAGGGTGGGGATGAAAGTAGGTGGGATACTCCCAAATAAAGTCCTTATATACGGCCTGCCTCCTGAAGCCAACCTGCCTTCATCCTACCTTTAAGGCCTCCGAATAAAGCTGGGCTCGCCGTAAGGAACAAGGAACTTAGTACTGAGAAAGCAATATTACTTGCCTATAGATCTCGATGAGGGTAGCTGAAATTCAGATCTTGAGTAGACGACAACATGACTTACGATAGATCTCCATGACGGTAGCTTAAGTTCCGATTTTAACGAGAACCCCGCTTTGGGGTTTGAGGTATGGGGGGCACTGCGTTTCGGGATGTGAGATTTACTGGCTTGGGCTTATGTAAGCCCAGCAGACCGACTTCGGTTTCATAGCAATTAAGGAACCTGAACAAGGCAATATCGAGTTTCCAAAAAGCTGATAGACAATCTCCTCCCTTCTGCCCTGAATCTATAGTAAGGCCGCTCTTGGGGGTTACTGTAGGGGCCTAAATACTTACCTGTAGTATTTTGGGGGGTTCCTTAACCCCATGCCAACTATTAGGGCCCCTACATTAATACGGCCGCTCTTTGGGGTAAATAAGCGGGCCTGCGCTATCGGGTTCGTTATTTTAGCGGCTTCTAGGGGTTCTCAAGTTCATTTTGGGGAGTTTGTTTTGAATCTAAGCCGTAAACCCTAAACCCCTAAACCCAAACCCTAAACTCTAAACCCAAGATTACCTGCATTATGGGCCTAGGTTTAGGGCAGAAGGGTGTCTGGGGCTTTGGGAGTTTGGGGGGCTCCGGCGATGCACGCTTTTTTTTTTTGCGTAATAAAGAATTCTGAGTGATTACCAGTATTATTCCTTACAAATATGCTACAATAGATCCCAAACCCTTATAAGAACAGTCCGCAGCTTAGGGTTTTTCGGTCTCGGACTAGATTGCAGATTCAGTAAGTGTTTGTCTGAGGTTTCGGTGAAAGTATGTAGGGCTCCTGAGGAAGTCTGGCCAGAGTAAATATTGGGTGATTTTTAGGTGTATTCTTGGGTGATGCTGCTAATCCGCAAAATAGCTGCTAACCTACTGATACCGAAATTCCATGAAGATCCTATATAGCTTCGTACACGGGCTGCATGGATTGAAACTGTTGGTGGAGAGTGTAGGTTCGGTATCGGTAGGTTGGCATCTTGTTGGATTGAGCATGCAAGTTGCACCTGGCCAATATCCGGTTGCTTCCGAAGCTGGGCTTTGGGAGCTTCACCAGCAGATAGGATGATCATGATGACGATGATGTTGATGATGATGACGATGATGATGGCCCTTAGGGGGCTAGGGGGGAGGGGGGTAGGGGGACTTAACACTCGTAAAACGGACCCAACAATGCCTATTTCCCCACGCCCCGGCGACGAGGAGGATGAGGAGAGGGAGGAGGAGGAGGATTATGATGATCCCGCTGTGACGAGCGTAACGAAGACAAGCATGAGAGCACTGGTCGGTTGCCAGGGTGATGATGACGACGACGACGAGGATGATGATGATGATGATGATGATGATGATGATGATGCCCAGATTCGAAAGTGCCGAGAAGGAAGGTAACTAATGATGACGGCAGCCACGGTTCTGCGGAGTTTGCACCACTACCAAGTATCCTCCTGGGTCTGTGCTGCTGCAAGCTGTTTTCTCGACCGAGCAGCCGATTGCGCTCTTATTCCTGGTTCGAGCCTTGCTTGTCGTCTCATATTGAGATCCAGAACAGGGTATGTACACATCAGCTCCTTGAGATGTTGTTATACTTTGCAATCCAACATAGACGTGAGCCTTCAACCCGACGCGCCACCAGCGGTGCGTGCGGAGTCCATGCGACGATTGAAAGCCAGGGCCAGTGAATTGTGCCGCCGCGGAATCTTTCGCGCAGCTTCCAGCGGGGAGGTCCTGTCAGGCTTGGGGCGACTCGGACGCAACGGGACATGTAGAAGCATCCGTGGCCGTGCCATCGAAATGTACCATATTGTATCATGTCATGTTCATTATAGTTTCATTACATCATGTTATATTGTACTATATTATACTACATTATTCAGATGTTATAATATTTAATAATGTATCAAGCCATATTATTGTATATCATACTATGTGCTATATGACACTAAACTATACCATATTATACTATGTCACTATGTTATATTTATAGCAAATATGTTCTATTATGTTTCGTTTTATAATATGTAGCTTTATTATATTATGTGGTATTTTATCATGTTTTACCATGTCATATCTTGTTATAATATTTTACCGTGTATGATATACGGTTATTTGTAGACTATATGATATTAGATGAATATGCCATGTGGTATGTTACTACATTATTTATGCTATATTATGTCATGTGATCATGTAACATGTTGTATGATGTTGTGTTTTGCTGTAATATATAACACTGTGCGTATATACATATATGTATATACTTCTAAGCTTTATTAGTTTGATGTTGTGTTCTACCATGGCATATCTTCACATAGCATATTGTTTCATATTTCTTATCAGATCATATCATATCATATCATTTGAGTTCACAATATATAATCTTATCTTATTATATCATATGATACCGTTTCAGATCTTAGTAGATTATCATGTAGTTTGTTCCCATATCTTTTTGTTTGAACAGGAGCTAATATATCATGTAATGTTATCTCATCACGAATCATACCAGTGTATCGTAGACCGTTTTACACCATATTAAATGATATTATGCCACGTCATATATGACATATCACACTGTTTTGGATCATGTTATGACAAGTTATAGTGTTCGTAATATCTGTTTAGAGTAAAAGTATCATGCTATATTATGTAATAAAATATCTGTTTTTATCATATCATAGTATGTTATACCATAGTAGCACCTATAGTAGATCAGGTTTTATCGTATTAATTATACCATGCTGTATCACAGTGTCTCATACTATATCACAGTTTATCATACCATATCAAACTTTTATTGCAGCGTCATGACATATCATTTTATATCATTTCCCACCACGTTATACCTTAGTACATCAATTTTTCTATTTGTGCATATATATATATATACATATACACACCTTTATCTCACAGTCCAAGCAATCGCTTCCAGCCCTGCTGTAGTTCGAAGCCTGGAGTTGAAGATTTCTGCCGTCTGCAAATCCTACGAAGCGCTGATTTTGCTGAACTTCGGGTTTTGGGCTTTAGAACATCTGCAGTTACCGGCCTGGCCCCGAACACTAAAAGCCCTAAAGGCCCCAAAGCCCCAAAGGCCCCACCCCCTGCACCCACTTCGCGACCTGCGGAGGCAAGTCTTCGATACCAGGAGCATCGGAGATTTTTCAAGTACCACTCCGGCGGCTCGCCCGGCCTCAGAGATCTCCTCGGTAGCAGAAGGACCTAGTTTAGGGTTGAGGGCCGCAAGAATTACCAACACTGTTTGAGGTTCCTTATTTTGGGTTATGGCAGAAATCTGCCCCGACAACCTTGTTCTGATTATGAAGGCCCCTGCATTGGTGTAAAGCCTCAAACCATAGCCCTCGAGACTATGCCCTCGGACTTGAGTATTCAACCTTCACGGGCCTTGTAGTTCCCATATACCTCTGTAACAAAATGGAAAACCCTGTTCTAATCTACGAGGCTCCTTGACAAGTGCGTTTACACGTAGGTATAAAGAACAATGACCATTACCCAGAGAACCCAATACCCCTTAATCCAGCAAAATAATTATAAGGGCCTAAATATTATGATTTCAGGTATATTCTTTATTTGAGTGGTATTAAACCCTAAACCCTAAACCCGGGTTTAGGGTTTAGGGTTTTCCGAGATCGGAACCCTAATTCTCATAGCCTACATAACCTACCTGACCCTACTGTACCTTGAGGAACTGATAAGAAGGAACTTCGAATCCAGGTGAGGCCCATCTCCTCATCCTATACCCAGAGAACCCAATACCCCTTAATTAAGGAATTCTACTTTGAATCAATATATTCAGACCCCTAAACCCTAAACCCAAAACCCCCGAATAATTTAAAGCAGAGTCCTTGATGAAGGGGTATTGGGGTCTCTGGAACAAGGCTAACCCATCCCAAACATGCGACGTCAGGGTTTGCAGCCAACAGGATTTGGGATGTTCCAAAAACAATCGGTACTGATAATAAGGATCCTACTATTTAGGGTACTACATTAGGGTCCCCTACTTTCGAAAACTCCGATTTCGAATCTGAAGAGGTGGCCGATGGGTTCTGAACCCTTAGTTCGCGATCAGGGCTCGCGGTTTAGTAGAGCCCGGAGTGCCCACAAGAAACCGTGCACAAATACTAATGTAGGGGCCTTAATAATTAGAATAGGGGGTTCCTTTAAAGGGATCCTTAAAAAGTTCTATAAGGGATCTATTATAGGGTTCTGTAGGGGCTTATTAATTAGAATAGGGTTTAGGGGTATATTATACTATAATTGTGATACAGAGCCCCCGAAACCCTGTTCTAATTATTCAGGCCCCTACATTACCAGGACCCTCCTTGTACCCTCAAATAGGGGTTTTTGGTCCCAAACAACGGGTCCTCAGGGTCTGACAGAGGGTGGATGGAGGGTCTAGGTAGCTAGCTCTCAGGGTGACATGCTGCGTTTCATGTGTTGTAAGAAGGTTTTGGCTGGTATCACCAATATAAGGGTATATTATACGATAGTCGAAGGTCAAGGATGTGGATGTGTTCATCAGCCATTCCTGGTCAGCTGACCGTTGGGAGAAATACTTGGCCATGTGCTACTTTCTGTACCTGGTCGAATCGAGAGTAAGGGGTACCCTAAACCCTAAACCCTAAACCCTAAACCCTCAACCCTCAACCCTAAACCCCAAACCCTAAACCCTACCAGGGTCATTGCAGTTGAGTGTGATGGCGGTGTTCAGTTTAAGCTTGAGCCTGGCTTCGAATTTCAATCATTCGGAGTGTGACTTCTGATATGAACTTTAATGTAGGGGCCTTGATAATTAGAATTGGGTTTTGGGGTTCCTTATCGTAATTACAGTGCAAAAAAACCCCGAACACTATTCTAATTATAATTAGAATAGGGTTTTGTGGCTCCTTATTATGTTTATAGAATAGTATACCGCAAACATAGAATAGTATACCGCAAACCCTACTCTAATTATTAAGGCCCCTACAGCCCTATGCTCTGTGGCTCCTCAGAATGTCTATGTTTTTTTGGGAGGAGGGTCTCGGCATCAGAACCTTCTTACACAGGCGCTTAAGTCTTTTACAGATTATTCCGTAGGGCTCCAACCCTAAACCCTGAACCCTAAACCCCAAACCCCAAACCCTAAACCCTAAACCCTAAACCTCAACACCTCAACACAACTTTTGTTTCACATATCCCAAAACCCGTAGTCCCATGGTTAAAGCCCCTACATTAAGCATCATCAGCTTGTAAATTTTCTCCCACCCTAAACCCTAAACCCTAAACCCCCTAAACCCCAAGTCCAGGAACCGCGGTTTGGCGGCAAAAGCGATGACGGCCTCGGTGGTGCTTTCCGAAGGCTTTACATTATAGGGTTTAGGGTTTACGGTTTAGGGTTTAATCTATGTCCTGGGTTTCCGAAGGCTTTGTGCTGATTTTTCCCACTCTGTCCATCCACTTGGTGTTCTTGGTCTTGCTGGACTTTCCCATTGCTATCTTCTTCTTGGTCTTCTTCTTTGGGCAGCACCTCACGTGTGGAATCTGGGGTCCCCGCTGCTGGGTGGACAGGCTCTGTGTGGACCAAACCGACGAGACAACGAAGTCTGAAGGGATCGCGGGCTTACCGACGATCGTGGCAAACTCCTGTAAAATGCTCGTCCTGTGGGACAAGTCATATTGCAAACGGCCTCTTGTTGCCATTCTAATTGTCCGAACTTTCATCCACAGCTTGATCGGTATGCTTTTGAAAAATTTGGCGAAGTTAAAACGGCTGCTGTCAAGCGGACCGGCACGTCTACAGTATTGTCGTCACCTTAGCAACCCTGAACTCATGTGTGGTTCTGGAACCCTAAACCCTAAACCCTAAACCCTAAACGACACGCAACAAGGCTCTGGTGCAACTTTGAGCTCTCGATTTTCGTGAAGAGCCACGGTCTCCAGAATCTGCGGCTTCTGCCGCTGTGGCTCACCCCGTGGCTGCTGACGACCATGTTGCTGTCGTATGTTTCAGCACGCCTTGTCGCTGTCTTCACTGAGTCTGATCCCAACTTCGGCGTCAATGACACCAGCGAGTTCTCAGGAGTTGTGGGCAGCGCACTTGCATTCGGTTTCAAACGGTTCTGTGAGTATGCGACTCTACCCTACAACCTCTTCTGTTTGCCATCCATCATCGTCGGCGTTGTGTCCTTTCAAAAAAAGCTGGACGGGCACCGCAATATGCTTCAAAGCATGAAGTCCTTCAATGTACGACATGCTCAGTGTGCCCTGGACAACGACCGTTCCGTCATCGAGGCGCCGGGCACCAACATAATAGGTATGTATGTATGTATGTATGTATGTATGTATGTATGTATGTATGCTTGTATGCATGCCTGCATGCATGCATGTTCATTTAATTGTATGTATGTATGTATGTATGTATGTATGTATGTATGTATGTATGTATGTATGTATTCGTGTACGATCGCTTGATATACGTACATTTTGTAAAGGCATGTAATTTCATGTACAATTGTAGTGTTGTAGTCCGTATTCGAGCGTGCGGTAGTTGCAGGCGTTGGTGTGGTGTAGTGTGGCCGTATGCTGTGCATCTCTCCGTATGCATGTAGGTATGTCGGTATGTGATCTGTATGTTAGTGTTTTTGTGTGTGTTTGTGCATGTACGTATGTGTAATGTCTGTAGGGTATGTAATCTGTGTACTGCATGGAAAATATGCAGCATATATGTAATGTATGTAGCGCGGGCAACTCATGTAGTGTATGTAAGTAATGTACGCAGTGTGTGGTGATGTTTGCGGCATGTGTGTGCGTGTGTACTTTTGTGTAGCGAGAAAGGACTACATATATGAAGAGCCATGTACGTAAAGGTATAAATACATAGATGTAGGTAAAATGTTTAATATATGTATCTGTATATGCATATTACATACGTATACGTGTGTTTGCGTGTGTGTTTGTGTGTCTGTCCCCGCGTGTGTGCGTGTATGTGTCTGTGATTGTGTTTGTTTGGCCTTGTTGTCACCTCCGTATCTATGCATACAGGGCTGCATGTACAGGTATTTTTGTCTTTGCTGTGTGCATGTGCTTGACGGTGTGTATAAACATATGCATGCCCTAAAGCCCTAAACCCTAAACTCTAAACCCTAAACCCTAAACCCTAAACCCTAAACTCTAAACCCTAAACCCTAAACCCAAGTTCCTGTGTGTGTGTGTCAACCTGGGTCGGCTTCGATTCTGCTTCTTTGCGGTCCTTAGGTAAGATGCACGCCTATAGAACTTGACAAAGGTTTGGGACAGAAGGTCTCTGGGTGGTTCCCAATAATGCCCTGAACCCCCCCCGGATTAAGAAATGATACCAGAACGTTAGGTACCCTTCATTTCTTAGCTAGAAGGCATCTTGAGGAATCGGTTTTTCGTGCTATCCGGCTGACGTAGCCCCTACATTTCTTATCCAATCGTTTCTTATACATCCAGCCGAACGTGCTTTTTGAAACCGGTATGACCATATACATATATATAATCCCCCACCACGTTACCTCTATAGAATGGGGGGGGGTTAGGGCCTGCATAAAGC